CCCCCCCCCCCCCCCCCCCCCAACAACCCTGGGATTAGTCATGCAAGATATCTGCGTCCTCTGGAGGAAATCCACCTGTGCCCTCTAACTGGGAGCGTCAAAGGAAGTATGGGAGAAGAGCGTCAACACAAACGAGTCATCTGTACAAAACATTAACAGAGAAAAGTCTGTTTCTTTAAATACACTTTAAAATCCAAAATCTGGAATAATCCCAAACCTTCCCCTCCCCCCGTTTGACCCTCGATGTGGATGACAGGATTTTTTTTTTCTTCTTTCATTTTGTTGTAAAGCAAGGATTACTAAGTAAAATACATTTGCAGACTTTACATACAGCAGGATTTTTTTCTAGCTCATACTTGATACAAAGCAGTTGCAGTAAAGCAAATGTAAAAACACGTTTTTTTTTTTTTTATCTTAAAAAAGAGAGAAGAGGAAAGACGAGCTCATGGAAGGAGCCGTGGGGTCATCAGCGTCACACACAGCTGGGTGATCAACACAAACAAAAGGCCTGAGATCAGTTTGGCAAAAAAAAAGGATAAAACTCTGAAGATAAACAAGCTCTAATTGTCTTTTCGTTTTTAATTTTCTCTCTACAGCTCAAGTCTAAACATGCACGAGCGAAGTGCGACCGAGTGAAATGTTTATTTTCCTCGTTTGATGAAATGGTTCCCTAAAGGTTTGAGCACTGAGCGCTGTTCTCATGCTGTTATCTTTAGTAATGTCGAGCTCCGCGTGCTGAGAAGGATCTAATCTACCAGCGCTGTTCCAGTCCCAAACAAACGGGCCGCAGCGCTGACGAGCTCGGCCCCGTTCTCACGATCCCGGCCCGGCTCGGCCCTGACCCATCCCACAGCTGCCTGGATGTTAAACACAGCTTCTGGAAACCTCCTTTTCAGCTAACGAGCGTAAATATGAAAATAAAAACAAGAACCGTCATAAAGTACCTTGAACCCAGCTCATTAGTTGACAGGAGTGTTTTTTAATATAAAAAGTAATAAGTTGACAGGAACTAACAATCATAGAGTCTCGCCAATCTGAACAGAAACAAAATAAAAGTGGTATACAATCATTAGAAAGGATACAAAGAGAGAAACACTGAATCATTGAGGGGGGGGGTCCAGTTGAAGCACAGTTCACATTTTCTGCAGCTTTTGTTTCCTGTCTTTTATCTACACCCTTTATGTTGCACACAATTTGTGTGTGAAATTAAAAAAGCTCCTTTTCTCCCACTCGCTGGCCCAAAGACAAAACGTTTCTCTGGTTTGGTCATCGTGCAGTCGGCCCGTCAGCACCTCCTCCTGCAGGTTTGGTCACCGCGTTGTCCTGTGTGACTCACCCCTTTGGTGTGAAATAAAACTAAAGCAAAGAAAAGAAACGAGCATAAAAAATAAAAATAAAACTTTTTTTGATTCTGTCTGCGTGGGGTTGGATCAGCGCTGCTGAGAGATTTTTGGCCTCATCTATTGCATGGATCACACACTGACTGGAGTTTATCTTTGGTAATCACAGAACAAGATAAAAACAAATAAAACATCAAATACTATAAAACTATGAATAAATTAAAATGAGCAGTGGTTGATTGCAGTCTTGAAATTTAATTTTTTTTTAAGTTTTCCTACCAAAGCTGATGCTTGAACTTATTTTTCCTCTTGGTTTAACGTTGCAGACTACAACTACTGAGTGTTTTTGTCTTTTTTTTTTGGGGGGGGGGGGGGGGGGACTGAACGTGCATGTTGGGTACATTTGGGGGCTCTTCCTGTTGGCTGTCACGTACTGGAATGTGCCATGTTTTCAGGTCCCTCTGTGAAAGGAAACGAGCAATTATCAACTCAAAAGTTAAAACTAGCCGTGCGTGCCATATAAATAAAACTACGGGGAATGCGAGTTTATCTCCGAGCGCCCGACGAAACGCCGGCGATGGAGACGCGAACGCGTTTGATTAACGGCGACGGCTGCGTTCAGGAATCACAATTAGTTGGTCTAAATCATTATCTCGCCCGTGCACACCTGACATTTTCATTCTGCCTTTAAAAAAAGCCCGCAGCTTGTAAGTGATCAGAAATTGTGTTGCGGCTCAGCACGCTCCGCGTTGAAGAGTCGTCTCATGAGGATAAATCATAACCTGCATGATTTGTCTGTCAGTCACTCGCATCTTAAATTAAACTTCAGTGATGCGTGGAGAGAGCCTTCATTATGAGGAGTGCACAGCCAGTGGACTTCAGGAGCCGGGGAGGGGGGGGGGGGGTCTTTTTGTGTTTGGGAGAAAGTGGAATAAATGACAGAAAACTACTGACATTCTGTTTTATGTGTGTGTTTGGTTTAAAGAACAGCATGAGAGGAACTCATCAACATTCATCATCAGGTTGTGGACATGAGGTCTGATCAGTAAAAAACACGTTGAATAAAGATGAAACATCTGGAACAGCACACACAGGACACAGAGAGTGGACATTTTATAACATTTCACCCCCCCACCCCCCAGTCAGAAAATAATAGTCCCCTAAACATAACGTCCTTCTCCCTTCGATGGAACTGATGAGAAGTGCTGAAGGCAGTGACAAACACACATGCACGCGCACACACACACTCACAGGGTGCACATGAAATGTCTCGTCTTTATCTCTCTCTCTTCAGTTCATGGTCATGTGTGTGTTGGGGGGGGGGGGGGGGGGGGGCACTCAGAACCCCTCGTGCAGTCTGCTGAGTGCAGTCTGTGGAGGCTGCACGGCGAGGGTCTGACCCTGAACGCATCGCCCCCCCCGTACCAAACGGATTTGTCCCACAAAGTTTGTTTTCACTTTTTAAGCGATACGAAAATCAAAAATAAAAATAAATCCCAAAAAAGGGTCCCTCGTCTAGAGGAGGGGGGGCGGGGGGGTCTGTTGTTTTTCTTGTGTTCTTGTGTAATGGCACTAAAACGTCAGTGTGGAGACGTCTGACCGTCAGCGGCCGAGACGTCACTTCAGTGCTTCCTGCGGACAACTCTGTCTACCAGATGATCCACACTGTCTCAGCCTCTGAGGCTGGAAGGGACGGGGGAGGGGGTCCTACAGCATGTCATCATGGTCGTCGTCGTAATCTCTGTGGTGATCAAAATCTGGACTGTGATTGGCGGTCGTGACCAAAGAGAGGGGCCCGTCGTGGTCTTCGGGGTCCAGTGGTTCCTCCTTAACGCTGATGTGGTGCCTGCAGAGAGAAACAGATTTCATTAGTTCTCAGCCTCTGAACTTTCTGCTGAAGATCCCACAAAAGCTTTCAGACACACAGGAAGCGATACCTGCGCTGGTTCCGTTTCTTAAGGAGGAGGCAGGAGAACAAAAACAAATGTCTGGCTGTGCCGAGGCGCAGAGAGGGGAACCTTGCTGCTGCTCATGATAATTTCAGATTTCTTTTGAGGGATTCCAATCCTGAAAAAGCTGCAGGCTTTTTATTTTCATGGCAACTGACAACAGGGTATTCACTTAGAGCTGATGAATGAGGAAGATTAACAACGTGAGATGAGGAGCGGAGCGAATGGACTGCACCGAGGAGCGGGCTGCTGTTGTCAGCCTCCTGGTGGCGGTGGATCAGCGGCGCACTGTGTGTTCCCCTTCCTGCTCGTTAACATGCACAACCTGCGAGGCGGGTCTCCAGAGGACGACCCCGAGCCGGCTTCTATCATTAATCAACTTCAAGCAAACACAGCAAGCAGACACCGGCGTGCGAGCTTTAAACTCCAGAATTAATGCATATTTTCAACCGAGTGTCAATAAAGGAAGAAAAGCCCTGGCAGCCGAGGCGCAGCGGCGCACTCGGCACAACACCGCGATAAGAAACAAAGCCCTTATGAGAATAATAACGCTGTCACTTGTAAACAAGGCAAAAACATGAGCCTCCTCCCCCTCCTCTACTCACAGCCTGGGCAAAAGAGACACTAAAGAGATGAGATCTGCCAAATTTCTCATTACAGAAGCAGAGCAGGAATAAAGCGCCGGGGAGGAGAAGGCCTGGCGGTGGCAGAGCGGAGGGGAAGGAGCCCTCCGAGCACTGCAAGGTGCTCTAACCTGCGGTGCCAGGCTGCTGTAGTGGTGACAGGATGAGGCGCCGGGCTCATTTACTACAACAACAAGGGACAACCGGCACTTCCTCCTGCACAAAAGCCCACGTTTGATTTCCTTCACACGAGGACGACTCGTGCAGTTTCTAGCTATTGTGATGGAGGCTCTCATATGCAAATGAGCTGACATATTTAGGTGTAAATTATGAAAAGGGTGAAAAGTAAAGTCAGCTCTTCTATCATTTTTCACATCAAAGTAACTCCACAAGTGCCGTAGCCTCAGGTCTGACTCTGTGGCTGCAGGGCAGACATGAAATTGTTATTATGATGCTGTGGAGCTGCATGCTGATGTTACACTTTGCTCATAATTAGCCTTCTCTGGATACCTGATTCTTTACTCCTTTTTTGTTTTTTTTTTTGGTTCAACTCTTTAAAAGTACGATGGAGCTTTAGAGCCATGCTAATATATATATTATGACTCTGTGGAAGCCTTGAAGACATGAGAGTGTTATTATGATGCAGTGGGGAGGTATGGTGGTTTGACACTTTGCTCATAATTAGCCT